TGAGGTGTTGAGGAGAAGGCAGTCTTTGTGACTCCAGTCACTGAAGGCTCTTATTAGATCTCTGTATTCAGCTTCTTGTCCATTTCTGATGCATGCCACAATAGCAGTGTCATCTGAGTAAATTATTATGTATTATGTATTGTTCTCATGACTAAAATTTTATAACATACCAATATTTGTTAACAATGTTGAGAAGGTTGTAATTCAGCGGGAGAGCATCTGAGTGCAGAACAAGAGGGTCTCTGTTTAAACCTAGATGCCCGTGGCAGATGTTTTTGTCCAAAGCAACGTACATCGGGAGTAAGCAAAACACAAGCAAAGATCTATACAGTAGAGAAAACATAAACAAGTGACTCAGTCACTCCTGGTCCAATTGGACTCAGGTGTCAGTATGCAGTATCAGAGGCAAGGCTCAGAGTGTAAAGAGGCACTTTTTTTTTTAATGTTTATATCATCACCTTAAAACATACATATCATCATACCAGATCTCTCTGAACGTTCCTGAGCTCCAAAGTCTCTTAAGTTCTTCTGGACTAATGCTACAGACGGTTGGCTGCTGTGGACCTGCCTGACTCCAGCTGCATCATCTATGATTGTCTGCCTCAGGCCCTGAGCTCCTTCTTCTGTTAGGTTTCTCTGGACTGTTGCTGCAGACATGAACACCTGCCTCACTGATATTAATAACATGAAGATAGAGTTAACAACTATTAGGCCTGCTGACTGTAATCACATTAAATTAATTATCAGCGGTCCATTATTACTTGTACACATCCAGTTGGCAAATGTCAAAATGGTGCCCTATTTAAACTGCTTCGCCTGCCTACTCTGCCTGCTGCAACCACCCTGCAACCCAGCTCCTCCTGTTAATGTTGTGTCTGATCTTATCAGTGTCATATGTATTGTCACTGATGCTTGCTCTGTTCTGTGGGGGATTTTAATTACTTTATTTAAATTTATTTATTTTGCTGCTGCTTTCCTTGCCTTGGCTTTTCATGTATGCACATGAAAGGGAGTACAGGGGCTCTCCCCTCTTATAGCCGTGGCATTCCATGCAAGAGCATGGAAAGGCAGGAAACTCCAACTCTGTCCAATCTGACACAAAAGTGAGAAACTTAATCAAAGCTTTCATCAGGAGATGATGATCATGCCACCAACAGCATGTGTTCTGTAATTTTCATGAAAACTGTAGGAACAGCAAATTCAAAGCCCTCACTGTACTTCAAAAGAGATAATCTTGTAGACACAACATGGTGACCTGCAGGAACCAGGGTCTAATTTGAGTTGGGGGGTAAAAGGTCAACCCCCTGAAAAGCCCCTTGTTACGGCCCCTGGTAAAGCCGCCAGGGGTTAGGGTGAACTTTATTTCTGCTTGGTCTCTTTCTCTCTCACCCTGTTTGTGTTGCAGGCCTTCCACACCTCCTCCCCTCCATTCTGCCACACCTCAGGAGTCTAAACAGCTGAGGCTGATTGACATTATGTATTATGGTTGGCCCAGTTTAGCTGGTTTCCAGTATCAGTAAAGTACATCGTACTCTGGTAAATTGCAACGACACTTCAGTGTTGCCCTTTAATTTACGCACTGAAAAAACCTTCCACACCTCCTCCCCTCCATTCTGCCACACCTCAGGAATCTAAACAGCTGAGGCTGATCGGAATTATGTGTTATGGTTGGCCCGGTTTAGCTGGTTTCCAGTATTGGAAAAGTACATCGTACTCTGCAGTAGAAAACCTTTTATGTGTTAAATTAGACTTTTTTCTGGATTTTTTAGCCTGATACCAGACATCAAAACGTGTTCTGTCTTTGCAATGACTCATCGAACTGGCGGCATTTGATTCTCATCACGGCACTGTAAATACAGCAAAGTTATGTTATCAGTTATGTTGTCCTTGTTTATTGCTTAAATGAAAAAAGTTGCAATCCTCGCTAAACGTGTTAACTGATGGCATCTGCATGGTGGGGTCTTATTTCCCTTGTCCTGATAGTTTGACATCTACAGTAAAAGCCCTGTAATACAAACTCCTGACTCCTGTCAGTTTTTTTTAAATACTGTCTTGGCTGCTATATAAATCAGACAGCTTTAACGTTTACTCACCTTTCTGCATTAAACCTTTGGACCCCCTCTAATGCCAGCTGCCTGTCCAGCTGTGTGATGTAAACATTGCTGATGGTACGCGCTGTGTGTGGTAAACATCATGCGTACCATACAGTATAAAGGACGAGGAGAAGCAGAAAAATTTGAGGCGATGGAAATAGATGATAAAAACTGTATGGTATGGTAACAAAACATTGCATTCTTGTCAGTGTTTCGCACAAAAAATGCTGAAAAAAGGAGAGGACATGCTGTCAAAAAGAGAAATCTTTTGACTGCCCTCTTTGAAAATGAATGCTCCAGTGACAAATTTTGCCATTCTCCGTTATCCCGCCATCTGCCCAGGCACTTTGCATTGTGGGTAACAGTAGGTGAAGCAGACCGGTCCAATGCATACTGTGAAACTTTCCCGAATCGGTACGTCATCCGGGTATTTTTGGCATACTGCAAATTTCGCATTTGTTCACCTACTGCATACTAAATTTTGGGCAAATCAGTACGTACTGCTAGGATGGTAGGTGAATTCGAAAACGGCTTCACTCTCTCTCTCTCGCTCCACCCCTGAGCCTTGTCCTTTGTTCACAACTTGAGTAACTGGTTTAGATTTCTTCATCAGAACTTCATCAGCCAAGACTCAAATTAAGAATCTTCAACACCATCCTTCTGGCTTTGCTCCAGAACAAGCTTTCCCTGCTCCATGTGCCTGACTCCACCTGCAGGTGGATCACAGACTTCCTGATGGACCGGAGTCAGTGTGTGCGGCTGGGGAAGAATGTCTCGGACACTCGGGCTGTCAGCACAGGATCTCCACAGGGCTGTGTACTTTCCCCTCTGCTCTTCTCCCTGTACACCAACTGCTGCACCTCCAGCCATGATTCCGTTAAGCTCATCAAGTTTGCGGATGACACCACCCTCATCGGACTCATTTCGGATGGAGATGAGTCTGCCTACAGATTGGAGTAGAATACACCCCCGACGGGAGCGCGGTTGAAAGTACTCAACAAGGCGAAAATAATCCAAGTTTTCCTTACCATTGGATGAATTCAAAAGCATGTGCCTTTAATAATTTCACTCAGGCTATTCAGATAAGCCGAAAAAATAGCCCTCTGATTCAGAATATTTGCTTTCCCGAAAATATAATGTATGCTAGCTTGACAGTTTACTGTACAGTTTATATACCCAAGCACACCTCCGTATGTGCATTTTTGAGACACATAAAATAAGAACGAAAGTTGTAACATTTAAATAGTCGTGTTTTTTTTAAATATGACATCATTTTCTTCCACTTTAAGAAGCTAACAAGTGGATGGGAGGGGGTGCATTCTACGGCAGGGGGTGCATTCTACGGCACAACACCCGGTCCAGCCGCTCGTTGATCCCCGCGATCCCCCTGATGATTTCTTCCTGCGATTACAGGACCGCCTCCGTGAGGACCCTTCCACTGCGTCCGGGTGGTCCAGCGGAAGCGCCACGGCTGGTGGACGCTCCACCGCTTGTCAGCGAGCTGGTGCTGGGGCCAGGGGCCGGGGTGGCCGACGACTCCGAGCTGGCCCCTGGTGCAGCAGCAACAACCTCGAGCTCAACGCCCAGAAGACAGTGGAGATGATCGTGGACTTCAGGAAAGCCACAGCCCCCCTGCCCTCCCTCGACCTCACCATTTCCCCCATCACCACTGTGGACTTCTACCGCTTCCTCGGCACCACCATCACCCAGGACCTCAAGTGGGAGCCAACCATCAGCTCCCTCATCAAGAAGGCCCAGCAGAGGATGTACTTCTTACGGCAGCTGAGGAAAGCCAAGCTGCCGGTCCAGCTGATGGTGCAGTTCTACACGGCCATCATCGAGTCCATCCTCAGCTCCTCACGATGTGGTATGCCAGGGCCACTGCTAGGGACAGACACAGACTGCAGCGCATTGTGGGCTCTGCTGAGAAGGTGATCGGCTGTAGCCTTCCATCTCTCCATGACCTGTACGACTCCAGGACTCAGGGCCCAGCAGGTCGGATCGCAGCTGACCGTTCTCACCCTACACACGGACTATTTGAGACCCTCCCCTCAGGCAGGAGGCTACGGTCCATTCGGACCAGAACCTCCAGCCATAAGAACAGTTTCTTCCCCTCTGCCGTTGGACTCATGAACACTTTATAACTCAGTCACTTTAACTCCGTCACTTTATCACTGGTCACTTTAGTTAAATGTACCTTGGTTTTTTAATTGCACTCCTCCCATTGCACTGCTGTCCTGTATTGTGTAGTTGTACATAGCTGTTATACTTACTGTACATAGCATTGTACATAGCCCTTTATACTTTTATACTTTTATACTTGATATATGTCCTGCATGCTCTTATTATTTTCTATCCTAGTATTTTATGTATTATTCTCTGTTTAATGTTGCACCATCACGCCATAAAAAATTCCTAGTCAGTGAATCCTGTTCATTGACAATGGCAATAAAACCCCTTCTGATTCGGAAAACCCCTTCTGAAGAGCAAATACCATCCTCTGTTGCCATTGAGGTTATAGTGAAAACAAATACCATGGTGGGTCACAGGGACTATTTGGGGGACAAGACGAAGACTAAAGAGGAAGACATATGTAGATCTGCTGCAAAAGATTCATTTTAGCTGACTGGGACTCAAACAGGAAGACAAAAAGGAAAAGGTAGAGGTAGAAAACATAAAAAGAAGATGTAGCTTCCTGCTTCTCCTGCTGTGCAGACGTCTCTCTGCTTGCTCCTGCTGCTTGAGCTTTAACCATTTCTTAATGACTTTTTAATCATCTGGCTAGTCTTGGTTTTGAGTTTACTCTTCTCTTTTAAGTAAACCAAGATTTTTAAAATTATTTTTGTGCTTTTTACTGTACTTTTTACTTTACCGAGTGATTGGATAATACAGCTAACCAGCACCAAGATGCCCCCCTTCAGCACAGATGATTATCACAAACTGCTTCAGAAAATTGCAGTGCTAGAGACCAAAATCAACCGGTTAGAAGCAAATGTGGATAGAAACGGACGATGCGGGAATGAAACAACATCTTGTGACCAGGACCATCACACACAGCTGATCACTATCGACCAAGAAGACTACGGATCCTCCAATGCCTCTTCTTCGGATTCCCTCGGCGCTAAACCCAAATCATCTCACTGGAATATGGGAGTAACAAGCAGAGCCCAGCGCCCTGAGATCTGTGACAAGACTGGCTGGACTAAACTATCTTCAACACCTGTCCAGCGTAAGAGGCAGCTGTGGATAGCTGCCAAGGCAGGCCCTAAAATCAAAAACAATCTCCCCCAGCAGCAGCCATCCCTCCCACTGCACAACAGATTTGCTCCACTGTTACGGAATCCTGGATCCACATCTCCGCATAGCAGGGTAAGATCCGAGAGAAAATCAAAAAATGGGGAACCTCAAACATTGATTGTGGGTGATTCTGCTATAAAAGATATACAAAACATGAGCTAAATAGCTAAAAAGTGCTCTGCTTCCCCAAGGATATGGTCTGTGACATAACAGGCAAAATTCAGGATATAGTGGCCTCATATCCCTCTCTGACAGCTATTGTGATTCACTGTGGAGCTAATGACATTGTAACAGAACAATCTGAAAAACTAAAACGTGATTTCAGTGAACTATTAAAAACTATCAGCTCCCTGAATGCTCAGGTATTCATCAGTGGCCCCCTTCCACCAATCAAAAGAGGAGATATGAGATATAGCAGACTGTTTGCCCTGAATCGATGGCTATCTACTGCCTGTACCAAAGTCAACTTTATTGATAACTTCAGGCTGTTCTGGGACCGCAGGCATTACTTCAGAGCAGGCGGACTCTCTCTAAACAAAGCTGGAGTATTCATCTCCAACCTGTATCACTCCCTGCGTCACCCATCTGTCAAGGACAAGAGACAAGAGGCAAAAAGACATGAGATAAAACACCACGGCCTTGACAGAGAGACGCTGAAAAAAGAGAGTGTGGGAAAGCAGAACGCAGATGGGGAAAGACAAGCCTTCAGGTTCACCATCAGATCTATAAAGAGAGACTTCGTATCTTTAACCTAGAACTGAGAAATGCTAGGTGATCCTTCTTCTCAGACATCATCACCAAAAACAAAAATAATGCACGCGCCCTATTTACCACAGTCGACAGGCTAACAAACCCCCCAGTATCAGTAGCCTCTGAATTTCTGTCCGCCAAGGCTTGTAATGAATTTGCCTCCTTCTTCAATAACAAAATCCAGAAAATTAGACAAACAGTCAGTAGCTCAATATCCGGTACAGGATATGTGTTGTCCATGCGTACTAACCCCAGTAGCATGACACAATTCAACCCGATCAACATTAAAACCCTGGAGGACATCATACTAAATCTGAACTCCTCCATCTGCTGCCTTGATATTCTGCCAACAGGTTTCTGTAAAACAGTTTCTAATTGCATGGCCTCAGATCTTTTACAGATTGTCAACATGTCACTTCTGGCAGGTGTCTTTCCACAGGCCCTGAAAACTGCTGTCATAAAGCCTCTCAGAAAAAAAGGCAACCTAGACAACTCAGTAATGAACAACTAGCTTCAGTGCTTATGAGTGTTGTGAGAGTTTTTAGTGGCTTCAGGACCTCAATTACCTCATCTGCCGTCCTCACCTCCTGGTCAGACAATGTGCTGATATCTTTCTTCTTAAGAGCCTGTTCTGTCAGTGCTGAAAACACTGCTGCCTCCTGCTCAAGGTACCTCTCAAGCATATCATAGCTTGAGTTCCAGCGGGTGGTGATGTCCTGAATAAGGGTGTGTTTTGCTATATTAAGCATCTCCTGTTTTCTCTCCAATATGTGTGCAGCTGTTGGGCTATGGTGAAAGAAAGACACAATCCGTCTCACTTTACCAAGGAGTCTGGATATTTGGTTGAGACCTGTTGCTTTCTGAGAAGCTAGATTAATAGTGTGCGCAAAACATCCAATTTGGGGGCCCATTCCAGCTTCACGCACTGCATTTACAATATTCCTGGCATTGTCTGTTGTGACTGCAATTGTTGTTCCTGGCCTCTCCAATCTCCACTCCAACACTGTCTCTTTAAGCCACTCTGCCAGGTTTGCGCTGGTGTGTTGTTCATACATGGGCTGAGTTTGCAGAACATGGCTCACTATGTTCCACTCAGGGGTGATGTGATGGGCAGTCACAGTTATGTAGCTCTCATCAGCTCTGGATGTCCATCCATCAGTTGTGAGTGCTACTGCACATGCTTTGGACAAGTCTTGGACAACAGAAGATTTAGCTTGTTCATAAAGTTGTGGAATTATTTTCTGGCTGAAGTGTGGACGAGTGGGAACTTCATACCGGGGCTCAATCACCTTGAGCATGTGTTTAAAACCAGGATTTTCAACGACTGAATATGGTCTTAGATCCGCTGGTATAAAAACTCCAATGGCTCTTGTTATAGCTTTGGCCCGATCTGAACTGCCAGGGAGAGGCTGCTTGAATGCCGAGGTCAGCTGTGTTTGCACTAAGCTGGTTTTTCTTCTTGTAGCGGTGATATTTACACTTGGGTGGTGCCGTTATAGGTGAGTTAACATGTTTGTCGTGTTGCGGGAGACATACCCGATCTCAGCTGAACAGTGTCGGCACACCGCCCTGGTTTTATCCACCTGTCTTTCTCCGTTGCAATATTTAACCAGGAAGCCGAAGTGTTCCCAAGCAGGAGACTTTAGCGACTGGGGAGGGTCTTCAAGCTCAGGTTTACTGCTAGCAGTAGCCATCATGCTCACGGGCTGCAGGTGTAGCTGCATGTGGTAGCGACAGAACATAAACATACGCAACTTCTGGCCCGTGAGCCAAAAAAAAAAAAAACTTCCAGCCGTGAACTCACCCGTGCACAGCCCTGTAGGAGGAGGAGGAGGAGGAGGTAAAGGAAAATTTAAGAAAGCAAAAAGAGGCATAAGATTAACAGTAAGAGAAAAAGACAAGGCAAAACACAAAGCTGAGGAAAGGGAGGAAAAACAAAGAGAGGGGGTGAGACAGCTTTAAGGGTTAGGACAGAAGGTGAGAAAAAGGGCCTAATGAGTGATGTAAGAGGTATGAGGGGACAGCGCTCAAAGTCATTCTCTCTGGTGATCACCCTCTTGGGGTTGGGGAGCCTGCTGACCATGCTCATCTGGTGCATGTTCGACAGCAAGTAAGTGTGTATTTGAATATGTGAGTTTATTCATTTATTTTTGTACTAAAACAGACTAATTAGCTGTCTGTGTAATTGTACAAAATAACACCCACACATTAACTGTGTCTTAATTACTTTATTTACATAATAATGTTAGATACTCTCAAACTGTAAAAATAAATACAAAACAATTAGGAATTACACTGATGACACCCATGTGTGACAGAAGTCTTTTAGCACAGTCATTCAAAGTGATGTCAGAGAAGTTTGACAGCAGCAGCCACAGTTGGTAAGGATATGGGTTATGTTGTTCAACAGATGCTTACGACTTCAATCTGTGTTCGGACCTCTTATGAAGCATTACAGGTCTTGAACTTGACTGTAACTTAACTTTTTAAAAGTCTTTCTATAGAAACTTTCAAACAGGAACAGAAGTTGATGACAGCTGTAAAAGCAACATGCCGCAGACCGCAGACATTTGAAAACACTGACACAAACAGACAGACGTCTGCAGATGACATGTTGCTACGTAGCAACAAGGTGTGAGTTAGAACCATAGACATAATAAAAGGGTAGACCCCGCTGGGGGTGCTGCGCAGCGAGAAATGCGGCCGCCATCTTGGTCAGGTCAAGCTTCCCATACGCTCCGGTCAATCATATTCATTCATTCATTCATTCAGCGATGCCGGAGCACTGTGCGGCGTATTCCTGTGCCAACAGGCGGACAGCAGAGAACAGGGCTCAAAAAATAACTTTTCACAGTTATGATTAAACGTTTTTTCAACATTACACTTGACTGTAGAGTCATTTGTAGGCCAAAGAGGAAGACTATCGGTCAACTCCAAAAAGGAAACAGCATTTGCGAACAGCTAGCTTATTCACAATAATAGCAACTTTGCTCTATTATCAACAGATTTGCATTAGATTGAAAAACTTTTGTTTGAGAGAGGTTCTAAGAAACGTTAAGAAACAAAATAGAAAGAAGAAGGAAGAAAGTGAGCTCTGTTTTATTAAAGATTTCTTTGTGGTGATCTCCTGTTTCATTTTGAAGATTTCCTAAGGACAAAAACTTGAGGAAGAAGTGGGAGATTGCTGTTAGAGGGAGAAATTCGCAGCAAGTGATTCCTCTGTGCTGTGTAGCCAACAAGCAAATTGATATGTAGTTTAGATGCTGTCCTGTCATGCTGTTCTTGTGTTTAAATTTTTTTGATATGTAGGCTATATATTTGTGTGTATTTCTTTGTGTGTATTTTCCAGTTATTAAAATAGTGCTTCTATATGACATTATTTGTGTGTGTCTACAAATGGATAAATAAAATTAAACTAAATAAAATAACATCAAATCAATATATATTGAATCGGCCTATTAAAACCGCCAGTTATTAATAATTATTGAGACATAGCAGGAACCTAGCTCTAAACCTAGATATATCCTTGATTAATTGTTATACTATAATACAGCCACTGCTGCCATGTTCTAAAATATCATTTTATTCATTCTGAGTATTTGAAAACGCCAAAAAAAATAAAGCCTCTATTATGCCTCTTTGAATGGCGTTTGCAGAGAAGAAAATTACGTAGTATTGAGCGAACTATGATTCATTTAATGCGCTCAGACTTCATTCCGCCGGTTAAACAGCGGTGCAGAGTGAGGCGGATGACCGGACCAAGATGGCGGCCGCATTTCTCGACAGCGCCCATTCGTGGTAGCGGCCGATGCGGGGTCTATCTTTTATTATGTCTATGGTTAGAACCATAGACTGTATATAAGATGGACGCCGTCTGTCTCCTCGCCGGGTGAAGCCACTCCGAGAACAGCACCCCCTAGAGCGTGGCTGCAGTACAAGTCATAAACCCCACTTCTGCCAGCAAAGTGAATGGAGCGGCGGACGGCCTTTAGAAATTAATTTCACAGAAAATACACTTTTCTCACCCCCGACTGCGATGTTGACATGTAGTTATTATTAGACTGGTTTGTGTTCAGGCCTTTTTTTCTCTCTGCAGCTCCATTTTAAAAAGTTATAAGGAGTTATAAAAACAGAAAATTGCGTCATTCCCTACACTTTGCACTTGTGCGTCGCTCTTTTTTGTCCATCGTCAAGACCGATCGGGTTTGCCAGCGGAGAAGAGGATTACATTTTTCCATCGTTTTTCTCTTTTATTGCATTGGAAAAATGAGTTGTTCTGCAGTAAACTGTGTTAACCGACATGTGAAATCAGGAACTTTGCAGTTGTTTCGGTAAGTTGTGTTTTTTTTATGAAGTCATCAGCTTGCTAGCTACATAACATTAAACGGTCTGGTTTAATTTAGCTAATGGGGTTTACTTACAGATATCAAGCGGTAAGTTCTGTGCCGCTAATAAGCGTTTTTATTAGAAGTTAAACAATGAGGAAACCCCTTAAAATCCGCCTTCTTTTTATAACAATATTATGACTACGTGACTTTGAATTTGAATTAAAAACCGTACCGATCCCACAGATTCATACTAGCAACCAAATACTACCACAGAGTATCAGGGCATGAAATGAAAACTCGAGGCATGAAGTCATAATGTTAAAGGAATTAATTCGCATTTAAGTCATTCCCCTAATATTGCATCACTTTATGAGAACACGGCCATGTAAATGAATATAATGAGAGTCATGATGTTATGAGTCGAAGTTTTGGTAATGGATCAACCAGTTTTACTCGGGTATGTTACAACGAGAGCAGCCTGCGCTAAAATCAGGTATGGTTTAATTAAAATGCATCTTTCGGATGCACCGTCCTAGCTTTCTGGCAGAGGATTGACCGCCGGTTCAGTCTCCTCCGTACAGCGGCAGTAGTATTACAGCTTCTGTTGACATAACGATATTTGTCTAAGATAAAGCTCTGAAACTGTCTTTAATGGGACAAAACGTCGAGAAAACGAGACCCTATAAGTGTATAGAAGGACATGCTCAAAAGATTACTTATACAAGTTGCATAACTGTTATTTATTTTATGTTATCAAATAACATACATAAGTCATAAGTATACTTCTGTGGAATGACAATTATCATTTACAGCAGCATGGTAGATCATGTCTTACTTAAGTTTTCAAGATAGATAGATAGATAGATAGATAGATAGATAGATAGATAGATAGCCCTGTTACCTATGAGATTGAGATAAAACTATGAGTAATGTAATTAGTTATGGAAAGACAGCTGCATATGACATACTTAATCAATCACAATGACATTAAAATTTTTGTTACATGCAAAGAAATCCCTCAATTTTGATAGGATGTTCATAAGACATATCACTCACAAGATGAAATGATTTGGATTATTTATACAGTTTGTATATTCATTCACTTGAGGTATTTTTTGTGATTGTCTTTGAATTGAGTTTTGGCTTCAGCCTGTTATGCAACAAAGCAAGAATTAAACTGAACGCAAAACATTAACTTTGTGTTGTTTACAAACTTGACAAATGGCAGTAAGCAATGTTATTGTATTTTTGTAAAGTTTCCCTTTAGGTGACAAAGCGAGGCTGAAGCAGTGGCTGGTGAACACAAGACGGCAGGACTGGAAACCAACAGGATCATCACGTCTTTGCAGTGCTCATTTTGAAGAGCATGCCTTTACTGTGGACTCAAAGGTTAAATTATTTCTTTTTTAATGGACAGCAATTTTTATGAAGTTCACATTTGCAACAATTTATTGTTAAATTGACTAACACTTTGAATCATAAAATGGCGGTTATTTAAACATTCCCAACAGCTGAACACTACAACTATCGTGGTTCCATTTTAAATTACTGCTGTTTTTATGTTTTCTAAAATTAGGTATTTGCATGTAGTTGTAGTGTCTGCTACCATCTACTGGTCATTATTAGTTAGTGTCATCAGTCATTTTCAGTTTAAGTTGGCGCAGCCTGGAGTAAAAAAACAGGAATCATGTTGCAAAAAAAATTTGAGTGATACCACATGAACAACTTCTTATGCTTAGACCAAATGTGCCCTGTTAGATAAAGGTAACAGCACTAGCCAAGTAGTAGTCTCTAAGAATGCTAACTAAATGAAACCTTTTAAATAATTGGACAAGTATATCAAAACCTCTAAAGTTTTCATGCTGAGCTACCACCTGGTTTGAGACATTAAGTGTCTTAATGAATTTAAGTACTGGTATTCACAATTTAATTGATGAATTTCTTTGTGTTTTTCAGACTTCATCACCAACCACTGATGATATGGTGGATTCATCTGCTGCAGCCTGTTTCCTTTCCACCCAATGCAACTCCCAAAGTACTAGATTATATCTTTTTAAGTTCCTGGTAAAATAACAAACATACAGGTTTTCTGCAAAGGAGTTAAGTATTTATAAATCACAAATAAATACTAAAATGCTAGTGTCCTCTCACAAGTGTCCATGTCATGCTATCTGATTTACATTAATTACATGCTGTTCACTACACATATTGTCAGTTTGTTTTTTCAGTTTTACCACACTTTGTCCACTTCATGGTGAGGACTCGCACACAGAAAGATGGAAAAGACAAATGTCTTGAAAAGTTGGATCCCTTTTATTGCTAGGAATAAAATGGATCCAACTTTTTTTGACATTTGTCTTTTCCATCTTTCTGTGTGTGAGTCTTTTACAGCCTTTTTGAATTGTCTTATCTGACCATTACACCAGAAGCAAGAATACTAGGACTGATGTTAGGCTCTTTTCTTGTTAATCACTTGATGATGAGTACATAAGAAATGCATTGACTTTGTTGTGGTATGTTTTTTTCTTTTGATAGCTTTACATGAAAAATAAAATTTTGAGACAAATACTCTGGAATAATAAAGCATATACTGTGTTTTTTCATCTGTGCTGTAAATCAGAAAACTTTATCATGGTACAACAAATCACAGAAAAGCATGTGAAGTTTCAACATTAATTTAATTTTTCTAACAATCAAAAACATCCCCAGCTACATTCGTCGTGGGGAAAACGCCTTGAGGAAGACCATCGGGTGGAATGGCTGGGGTACGGCAGCAAGTTTGTAGGACAGAGAGAGAGAGAGAGAAGGAGGAAGAAGAGCTGTGACAGAATTGAACAGTGTGATGGTTACCTTTGTAAAACAAACTTCACAAAATTGTGCTCGAGTAAACAATTAAACAAAATGTGCACATCAATCACAAATAAAGCAGATAAATCCTGACCATTTTTTGCTGCCTATTGTAGGTGAAATCCCAAATCTAGCACCACCCTACTAGATTTGGTCTTTCAAACACAAGGCACTATTATTTAAAAAAATGTCATTACCCTAAGTGGTGAAATGAACTCCATCGTTTAAAAAAGGCCAGGATCTCTGTGCTTTATTTGAGGATGATGCACAATGCTTCCGCCAACAGATGAAACAAAAGTAGCCATCACACTGTTCACATAGCGCCTGGCTTTGTCCATTTTCTTGGGGCTGTATCTCCATCGGCTCCTCTGAGTGATGGCAGAGAAGATGATCCTCACGGTGGGGAACTGCCGATGGAGATCCTGGAGGTCCTGCTGTTTGATTTCTGTAAATGTATTGAACAATAAAAGAAAAAAAAAAGTCATTTTCCTACAAAACCTTGCATGGCTTGTGATTCAGCATGATTCCACATCATGCTGAATCACAAGCTGTTTAATATTTTTTACAGTAGATATAATTTGGAATTGAAAACTTGAGCTTGCTCTTGTTACATCACAAAAAAAAATATTTATAACATTACCTAATAAAAGTCTGACTAAAATCATATCCAACTAAATCAGCATCCATCTCAATGAATTTTTATCCTTACTTCTGGTCACAGTGGCTGATGTTGTGCTCATCTTTGAAGCTTCTTTTCTCTTTGTCTAAAAAAGGAGAACAACATAAATATTTGCTGTTCATTCAGAATTGTGTTCATTTTTAATCACAGTACAATAGCATATATCTTAACAACTGATAAACTAAAAATATCACGTATTTTGCTGTTTAATTTACCAAGGCTAGTGTTAAATTGCAATGCTACTTTAGCTTACATTTACACCGTTTCTTTCAACAAAGAGAGATGACTTACTTCCAATCAAGTAATAGATGATATCTTTATTCGTATTAGTTATGATGGTATTTTATGTTCTTAAAAGTTAGTACGCTCACAAATTTCACATTATATCAGGAGAAGTGGAACTTACTTATTCTTGGTCGCGACGAGCGGGGAAGCTATTAGCGATACCGATGTAAGGCTGGAAGGACATCCGGGGGGGGGGGGGGGGGGGGGGACGTCATCGCGCCGAGTCTCCCGTCCAGCCAAAAACGTCTGCGTACAACGCTACTGCGCAGCTCTGGTTGCAAGGAACCCGGAATTACCGAGAGCTTTTTGGCTTCAAATCCGTATACAGGCGGAAGGCGGAACCACGGCGTCCATCTTATATACAGTCTATGGTTAGAACACTGGTTGTTCATTCATGGTGTATGAAGCTGACATCTTTGCTGCCCTCCACTGCAGATACTGTAGATTAGGTGAACAATGAGTACAGAAGTTTGCAATGACTGTGAAAATATGACATCAAGCAGATAACTTTTCAGTCTCTTACACTGAAGGGCAAAGGACTTGGCGGTTAACATTGTGCATCTTTGTGAGGAGGTTTGTCAGTGGTTCTGACAAATATCTAAATATAGGTGTTAGGTCTAAAACCTGCAACATTTACCTGATAACATATAAAGAAGAGAAAGACAATGGTATATACTCGAGGAGAATGGACAGAGATAGCATCAGGTACCGTCTCGAAACCACTCTTAAAGGTGTTTCCGCCCAGTCTCTTTATTTAGGGTTGTCCCTGGTTACACAATGTTTCTAAAGGGTGGGGGAAAAATATGTGCAGCAACGTAAGCACTCTCATAAAACATAATAATGAACAACTGTGAATATGTGAAAGTCAAGGCAAATTGTTGCATCTAACGAGCTCCTTCTGATAAGAGCGTATCCTCCTCTTATTTCCCACGATTCACAGTGGAGGATATATCACCCACACACACACACACACACACACACACACCTGCTGATAGGAGAAACGAGTTCACAGAGACGTTAAGAAACATTCATGTGCTGTGTAATTAAGCTATTGGAGAGAGAAGTTAGAAAACACTCTTATATGTCTAACAAGAGGTCAAAACAGTTTATACTTGTAGTAAACTCTTACATAAGAATATGAGGAATAATGATAACTTCTATATACATTTATGCACATTATTCTAACAATAGGGTCCAGAGTTTCGTGCTGCACCTCTGATAATCTCATTATCCAGGTTGTTTTCTCTGCACTTTGCTTCCTCATTAAACACATCATGTTTTCTCTCCGCAGCTTTGATGGGCCCTTCATACCAGCCCCTCAAAAGAAAAGGACCTATAAGACATCTGAACAATGCAAGGACTGCAAGTGAGTGCAAACACCATAACCAGGACTGCTTCTCCTGAGTGAAATCAAGGAATGTCAATGTTAAACAGAACTCAATTAACTGACTGTGTGTGTGTGTGTGTGTGTGTGTGTGTGTGTGTGTGTGTGTGTGTGTGTGTGTGTGTGTGTGTGTGTGTGCTACAGGGAGGTTATTGTAAAAGTGATGCAGCATTACTTTCAACCCTGGAAGAAGCAGAAGGACAATTACCAAAAGTCCAGGTAAAATAAGGGACCTTATCTCCAGTTACATGTTGTTACACTCATAAAAGCTACTACACTTAAAACATACACACACAAGGACAAAATTGTCGGTACCTGCCTATTAAAGAAAGAAAAATCCACAATGGTCACAGACATACTTTTGAAATGTTGTTAAAAACAATTATTTAAAAAAAAAACCCTGACTGATTAAATTGGCCTGGACAAAGTAGTTGGTGCCTGTAGAAAAGATTGAAAACAATTTGACCATATTGACATGTTGACCTAAAGTTGTCCCGTTGTTAGCAGGTGTCACAGGTGTCTTTAATCTTCAAAGGTTAAGGCTATAAGACCATCTAAAAGCAGCTTGATGTTCCTCTGACAACAGTTGCAAATATTATTCAGAAGTTTGGGGTCCATGGGACTGTAACCAACCTCCCAAAGATGTGGACAAAAAAGCAAGACTGGAATCTGCCAAACTGCATAACGATAAGATACAAATCTTTCCGCCAAACAATACTGCCATTGCCTTTGTCTCATGGTCCTCTTTGATATTCCTTGTTTGATGGGAAGGAGAAACACATTTGCCCAGGACTGGATGGTTGAGTCATCATTAAAAACTTTCTAGAATGCTGTCTGTTTGTTATCACTAAAAACTTGTAGCACAACCTGTGAACACTAAGAAAAACAGCAACCGGTAACACAAGTCACCAGCCAGGACTTGTTTCATCCCACCAATGTTATACGCTTTGGTAGCTTTGGACTTCTCTGAATAGAAATAGAGACCTCTATTGTTCATCCCAGCATGGTGGAAGAGAAGAATGAGGAAGCCTTGAAATACTGATGCAATACGTGACCTTAGACTGTGTAAGCATCAAATGTTTTCACACAATGAAAATCTACATCAGATTTCTCTTAACATGAATTGGAAGAAGAACAGCTAAGTAGGAAGGAGAAGTGGAAATAAGGAGGTGCATTAGATCAGAGGAACTCAATGCCAGAGTAAATATAGTACATTCTAAAGTCCCATGAGTTCTTCAAACACAAAGGGATCTCACCCAAAAGACCCGAGACTGCTTCGGCTTCCTTGGGTGAGTTTGTGGAGTCAGCGGCTCTTATTAATCAAATGAACGTATGGCAGAAAAGTGTCCATACGACCATTTCCATGCAAGAATCGACATTTATCAATTTGGATGTGAGCGAATGAACGATACGATCAAATCTTACAACAGGTCTCACATCGTGTACACAAATTTGAGTAAGATTTGCGGTGCAGCAAATGTCTGTCGTAAAATAATTAATACACAAACCTCAAACCTGTCATTAAGCACAAGCAGCCAGATTTCGACAAGGATTAATAAATAAATAAAATGAATTTCTCATGCCTATAGAGTGAATGGGCCTATTTAATTACCCTGCCGACCAACACTGCCACAGAGCAGGAGCGCAGTTTTGACACACGCACATGCGCCTATGTGGTGCGCTGCTTTTGACTCCAAAAAGGCACTCCAAACACTTTCAATAATAGGAGCGATGTAGCTTATGTTATGGCAATCAAAAAAAAATGAGGCATGTATGAGATATGAATTTATCAGCATTAGGAATTTATTGACTAATGATTTACCGCTACTGTAATCCTGTTCGAGACAGGGTTTTTCTGGACTCCCTTTATAACAGTTTTGATGCCTCCAAAGAGCACATCCTTGATAGTTTCCATCACAGAGGTGAGGATATCCACTTTCAGCTTTCAGTTGTAGTCATGGTTCAGCTTCTGAACCATGAATATTTAAGGGCATGACATGTAAATGGCAATTGATTTCAGCCGCCACTTTTATCAAGACCCAATCATTAGTATGCTGGGATTGGTCAGGTACGAACCCTTTCATAAATCTAACGTGTGTCCTATCATACCATGAATCCTGCGTTTAGATCTGTGCTCAGTTATACCTAGATTGATAAATGAGGGCCAGTATGTCTGCAACAGAAGAAGACCCTTTTTAAGTATAAGCTGTAAAAATGTACCTGTTCAGTCAGCCCTCATTCTCTTCTGACACTTTTGTCTCTATTTTTCCAAAGAGCTCAGCTGAAGAGTGAGTGTCAGGGTTTTGAGAAGGCCATCATTACCCAGGCCAACACTCCAGTGGGAACCAAGCTGGTCTATGATGGAGAAAAGAGGACTATCGAGGTGACACCAGAGATGTTTAGCACCTTTACAAAGGTATTTGTATTTGTGCTGCTACTACATACTGTAAATATTTTGTATTTAACCTATAAAAATTATAACACAACTATCCAGGTATGTCATACACTCACTTCTGGTTGGTCAAAGCTCCTAAACAGTGGTGATAAATTCTCAACAATAACAAAATAACGCCTAGGATAATGATGGCCGCTTTGTCGTGTTGCTCTGCCGGCGTCTCCAAGGGCGCGTATTGGTGCTGTGATCCAGATCTCTTTTTACGCTCTCCAATGCGTTGTCTATGTCCCCTGTCCACTGGCTCAATCATTGTCTTTCTTTTGCTCACTAAACTGTGAGTGTTCAGAAATAACACACAGCAGATGTGTTCATGTTTATTAAAATGATGACCTTTGGCAGTCAGTATTTCCCTGTTTGGAAAAACTGGACTGCTCAAGAATTTGCAGAAAGGAACACCATGGTGTTCATGAAGGTTTGTGGAATTCAAGCCTCTCATTGGCTGCTTTGTGAATATTTTACAAAAAGAAACCAATGTGAACTTTTTGAAGGTGAAACAGGGGAGGGATCAGCAACCTGAGTCAGTATGCATATATCTATCTTATCTTTTTTTAAGAAATACATTTTATTTTCTGACATAAATTTTCTGAAATAAATAAATTGTAGAAGAATGTGAAACTTAAACCTCAAAACTCTGATGCTGTAATCTGTCCAATGTGAGTGAGAAACTTTTTCAAAGCTTTCACCAGGAAATGACGATCCTTCCACTGCCAGCATGTGTTGTGAAATTTTCTTTTTCACAAAACATGGACCTGAAAGACTTTTTGCATTTCTATAAAGTAAAAACCTTGATAAGATGTTGAAATGAAGCATTTGCTTATAATGAACACCAAGGATTGAACTTTGGACCACTGGAGCTGCAGTCAAACAACTTTATCTCTGATCTGTATCCCTTTATTTGGAAAAGGATCAAACTACAGTACTAAATTCTCCATACAATCATAGTTCCTTTAGACCTACTTGTAGGTTTTTGTTTATTGAAAATGGTTATCTGTTAGTTTGCAGGTCCTGGATGAAAGGGATAAATAGCTGCTACATATTTGCAATGAACAAACATATTGCGTTTGCCACTTACGAGTTTATCATGCAAAGCATAAATACTCTGAAGTATCATCCCCTCTTTAAGAAATAGGTTGCAAGTCATTGTCACAATGTGATGCGAAATCTGCTTTGAGTGATTTATATATAATTATATGTTATACAATATGGTATACAGGCTCAGGACAAGTTTAGTCAAGATTGAATGATCCAAACCCCCTGCTGTCTGACAAGTCCATGTAGCTGCTCTTGGGCTGTACACACATCTTCTTTTTATGCAGGACAAGTTTTAAACTTGTATCATTTCCAGGAGTATCCTTTCCCAAATAAAACATGGGACACATGTGCAGTGGTCGGGAATGGAGGGATCATGGCTGAAAGTGGCTGTGGAGAGATGATTGACTCAGCTCAGTTCGTCATCAGGTGGGGAAGGTGTTCATAAAGAGTAGACTGAAGAGCTCATGAAAGCATTATTCAGATCATCACAGACCTTTTTTGTTGTTTGTTCAGATGCAACCTACCTCCACTGAAAAATGGCTTTGAGAAGCATGTGGGCGTCAAGACCAACCTTGTCACAGCCAACCCGAGCATCCTCTTAGAAAAGTGAGTAAGACAACAGATTGTCCAGTATTTTCACTTCAAAATTTTCTGTTTTTAATCACTTTGAATCTGCTGTTGATTTCCAGGTATGGGTCTCTGATGGGGCGTCGCCGTCTATTTGTGGAGAATCTACAGATTTACGGCGATTCCTTACTGCTCCTTCCTGCTTTCTCATATGGCGCTAACACTCCTGTATCTCTGCGGGCTGCAAATACAATCGAGGACTTTGGTAGCCCCATAAGGCCCATCTTCTTCAACCCTGAATACCTCCAGAAATTGGCTGCCTTCTGGCAGGGGCAAAGCCTGCGGGCTGTGCGGCTCAGCACCGGGATAATGATGGCTAGCCTGGCACTAGAACTCTGCAGAGATGTGCATCTGTATGGGTTCTGGCCCTTTGGTTATCATCCTCATAGATTCTATGACCTGAAATACCACTACTATGATGACACACCATTTCCAACCGGATTTCACGCCATGCCGGCTGAGTTTGAACTCTTGTTACAGCTGCACAGTCAAGGGGTGCTAAATCTTCATCTTGGAGACTGTTGACCTGGGAAAAAGTAAACCAAGGGTCTTGTGCTGGAGCAGAAGCAGAGTGTCCTCTTTGTACCCGCTGGAAGAGACCAGACATTAATGGTGCCTTATTTCAACCAGTTTCTAATGATAAGTTATAAAACTAACCAGAGAATTTTTGGAGAATGAATGCATTTTGAAGGAAATCAAATACCTCCTGAACATGAAGACTGTCTGACTTCACAAACAGTAAAAACTCTCTTCAAACATTAAACTACTTTTCAAAATATCCAGGTAACTGTTGAAATATTTGGTACACACCCACACATAACACTAATGTTAAAAAAAAAGACTGGTGCTGGTGGTGAAAGATGAAAACTGCACTCTTGTTATCCTGTAAATATTGTTACAGCGTAAGTTTAAAAGAGGTAACCTCTACATAATATCATTACTAAATAAGTGTCAGTATAACTGACTCTGATGTAAGGTGATAAAGTGATTTTGAATTTTGCACTGTGGGTGACAAGTATAACCTTGAATTGGACTTTCTTTTGTTTCTTTTACTAGTCGGAGTGTTTCATGGTGACACTAATGAGGTCTTAATGATGATTTCTGTAATCCAGAGGAGAAACATTGTACATGCTGTAGACGACCAAACTTAAAAGCCTTGGGAACAACTTTTGAAACAAATGAAGGTTTGTGAATCTTTGTGTCATATTATATTCAATGTGAGTGGGAAAATACAAGTGAATCAATGAATAAATACTTTTCTAAAACATTTTGTTTTGTGAGCCAGAATGGAAATTGTTTCAGGCCAGGAAATAGTTCAACAACTTATGTTCCCCTCTCAAAATTGTAAAAGGAGTTGAGGATTTTATCGTGTATGATAGTATCCAAAGATTCATCAATAGGAAACCAAAACTGATTGGCTTTGATCATTCAGCACTGCATAGAAAACAGATATGACTCTGTAGTGGAAATACATGAATGAGCCAAAAATCACTGATGCGCTTGCAAACATGGGACTATACTATTAATGGTGAACAATATGTCACAGTCCGGAGCCAAACAAACTGAAAAAGGACCCAGTTGCAGAACTAAAAGTGGTTTAATGAAAAAATAACTAAATAAAAGGCAACAAAAGCTTACTAGAAAATGTCGAACTCAAAAATTTAAAATTCAAAATCCAAGAAAATGCACAGAGGAGAAAAACCATGATGGGACACTGAAGACATACAGAGGCATCGGCATACAATGAACTGACCAGCTATGGACCCAGCAGACAGTTTTTTTTTTTTCCTTTTTTTTTTACCCGGATCCGTGACACAATACAGGTTTTGGAAGAATATGTGCTGCCATCCGGACAATGCTTTTGTAGGGAGGGTGGACCTAACATATACAGTATCTCAGCAACACACTGCCAGATTATGTGCTTGTTCTATGCTTGTTTAAATGTACAAAAAATGTTTTGTTGCAATAAATAATTTTGACGAATTTGGTCCTTACTGAATAGTAGTGATTGCTTCTCAACAACAACAACAACAACAACAACAACAACAACAACAACAACACCTAGGATAACCTGTTGACTGACACGTGATGTCATCAACACTGTGATCAACAGGCTGCAGACTCAGAGCCCTCAGGCCCTCTTTCTGATCTTTTAGGATTTAATCATGCCTCTCTGTCCTCTACTCTGCCCAAATTCACCCAGTATGTCACACATGCCACCAGTGACAATAAAACACCGGACTTACTGTATGCCAACACCAAGGAGGAAAACAACTCATCACCCCTCCCCACTCTTGAAAAGAGCTAATCACAACCTGTTTCATCTCCTGCCTTTTTACAAGACCCTTGTTAACAGACAACGAGCTGTGTCCTGCAGGGTGAAGAGATGGTCTGACAAGGCAGAAGAGGCTCTGAAAGACTGCTTTGAAACTACAGTGTGGGAAATATTCAGTGATTCTCATCGGGAAAACTTGGACAGTTTAACACACTACATCACGGACTACATAAACCTTTGTGTGGAGAATACTGTACCCACTGGAACGGTAGGTACTTCTCCAAGAACAAACCCTGGACAACTCCTGACATTAAGACTCTTTTAAAGGAGAAGAAGAGGGCCTTTGGACAACTGTTCAATTTGAACCTGGAACTGGGAAGGGTACCACGCCTCTGGAAGACATCCTGCGTGGTACCAGTCCTAAAGACTCCACAGCCTAAGGATCCTAGCTGCTTCAGACTGGTGGTCCTCACATCACACCTCATGAAGGCCCTGGAGCGACTGGTTCTTTCCCCACCTGCACCCCCTGGTGAGCTCGTCCATGGACTTGCTGCAGTTTCATAACTCAGAACTCAGAAGGGGTTTTATTGCCATTGTCGATGAACAGGATTCACAGACTAGGAATTTATTTTTGCATGATGGTGCAACATTAAATAGAGAGTAATATAAAATACTAGAATAAAAACTAATATGAGCATGCAAGAAATATATCAAGTATAAAAGTATAAAAGGCTATGTACAATGTTATGTAGAATAAAGTATAAAAGGCTATGTACAATTACACAATACAGAACAATAGTGCAATGGAAGGAGTACAATTAAAAATCCAAAGTACATTAACGAAAGTGACCAGTGATAAAGTGACAGAGTTAAAGTGACTGGGTTATAAAGTGTTCATGAGTCCAACGGCAGAGGGGAAGAAACAGAGGGGAAGGTTCTGGTCTGAATGGACCATAGCCTCCCGCCCGAGGGGAGTGTCTCCAATAGACTATGTGCAGGGTGAGAACGGTCAGCTGTGATCTGACCTGCTCGGCCCTGAGTCCTGGAGACGTACAGGTCATGGAGAGATGGAAGGCTACAGCCGATCACTTTGCATACCAGACTGGCATCAGCGTGGACGATGCCATCATCTTCCTCCTTCAACGAGCTCTGTCTCACCTTGAGTTGCCCGGGAGCCCTGTTCGGGTCCTTTTCCTGGACCTCAGCAGTGCTTTCAACACCATCAGGCCAGCCATCCTGAGGGACAAGCTGGAGCTCTCCAGAGTGGACTAACACCTAACATGCTGGATTGTGGATTACCTCACCAACCCAAAGTATGTGAGGACCTGGGACTGTGTGTCGGAGACTGCCTTCTGTAGTGTAGGGCCCCCCAGGGAATGGTGCTGGCACCTTTCCTCTTCACCCTCTACACTGCAGACCTCTCCCACCTGTCACCCACCAACCACCTGCAGAAGTTCTCTGATGACTCTGCCATCATCAGCCTCATCAATGATGGGGATGACTGGGCATACTTGTCTGGGACTTTGTTGACTGGTGCCAGTGGAACCACCTCCAGATTAACGCTGGAAAGACAAAGGAGTTGGTTGTGGACTTCCGCAGGTGCCCCCACTTCCCCCCATCACCAGTGAACATTCAGGGAAGGGACATTGAGATGGTGACATCTTACAAGTACCTGGGTGTTCACCTGGACAATAAACCTATCGAAAGGAGTTGCACATATAACCTCATTTAACATATCTCATAGCTCCAAATGAAATTTCATTGTTATCACACCTTTGTTCTTTCAGCTCCTGCAACTGTGCTATGTAAGTGTCCTAATGCCACCTTGACGATTACACCCTGATCAGATTGCAAGTCTTTGGTACAGTGTCTAACCCACCTTTGTAGTGTCTTATTTTAGCTATAAATGTGAGTCATGACCCTCAGTTCTACATCAGGGATTATACTGTCAGAAATGTCTGTATAACCACCCACTCACTGTCAAACTCTGTCCAATCTGACTGTACTTCAAAATAGAGATACTCTTGTTGACACAAAATGGTGACCTTTGGTGGAACTGCATATGCAGGAAACTGCAGGAACCTGCAGGAATCAGGGTCTAATTTGATTTTGGGGCTAAAAGGTCAACCCCTTGAAAAGCCCCTGGTAGTACTTTCCAGCGGCCCAGGGATTTCGAGATGCAGGGCCTGATGATTTCATGTTCAATGAAAAAAACAGCAACAAAGAAAACATGTTGTTAGTCTACATTTATGTAAATACTGGCGGAACAGACATGCACAGAGAGGAAGGAAAAGAGATTCTGCCTCCATAACCTCATCTTATCTGATCAGTCAAACTTTGTATACACATAATGACCCCATTTCTGTACATTTTCTCCAACCTTGGGTATGCTTTGGGTGTTTGAACAGTTTCAGGGGTCAGACTGAAACTAAGTCTTGTTTACAACAGCACAAGAGCAACTATTTGATGTCATTTTGTTATCAAATACAGCATACCTGCTGCCAACATAAAGAAAAAAAATCAGCCAAGACTCAAATTAAGAGCAAATACCATCCCTTGTTGCCATTGAGGCTCTAGTGAAAACAAATACCATGGTGGGTCACTGGCACTATGAAAAAAAAAGTCCCTGGAAACAAAAATTCTGGGTGCTTTTGGTCAAAAAGGAGAGAAGGGACAAGACGAAGACTAAAGAAGAAGAAGAAATATGCAGATCTGCTGCAAAAGATTCATTTCAGCTGACTGGGACTCAAACAGGAAGACAAAAAGGAAAAGGTAAAGGTAAAGAACATAAAAAGAAGATGCAGTGGAGGAGGAGAAAGGAGAGAAACTGACAATAGGAGTGAGACGACACGCAGAAGGAGGAGGAGGAGGAGGAGGAGGAGGAGATAAAAATTTTTTTAAGAAAGCAAAGAGGCATAAGATAAACAGTAAGAGAATAAGACAAGGCAAAACACAAAGCTGAGGAAAGGGAGGAAAACAAAGAGAGGGGGTGAGACAGCTTTAAGGGTTAGGACAGAAGGTGGGAAAAAGGGCCTAATTAGTGAGGTAAGAGGTATGAGGGGACAGCGCTCAAAGTCATTCTACTCTCTGGTGATCACCCTCCTGTGTTTGGGGAGCCTGCTGACCATGCTCATCTGGTGCATGTTCGACAGCAAGTAAGTGTGTATTTGAATATGTGAGTTTATTCATTTATTTTTTTACTAAAACAGACTAATTAGCTGTCTGTGTAATTGTACAAAATAACACCCACACATTAACTGTGTCTAAATTACTTTATTTACATAATAATGTTGGATACTCTCAAACTGTAAAAATAAATACAAAACAATTAGGAATTACACTGATGACACCCATGTGTGACAGAAGTCTTTTAGCACAGTCATTCAAAGTGATGTCAGAGAAGTTTGACAGCAGCAGCCACAGTTGGTAAGGATATGGGTTATGTTGTTCAACAGATGCTTACGACTTCAATCTGTGTTCGGACTTCTTATGAAGCATTACAGGTCTTGAACTTGACTGTAACTTAACTTTTTAAAAGTCTTTCTATAGAAACTTTCAAACAGGAACAGAAGTTGATGACAGCTGTAAAAGCAACATGCCGCAGACTGCAGACATTTGAAAACACTAACACCAACAGACAGACGTCTGCAGATGACATGTTGCTATGTAGCAACAAGGTGTGAGTTTGAACACTGGTTGTTCATTCATGGTGTATGAAGCTGACATCTTTACTGCCCTCCACTGCAGATACTGTAGATTAGGTGAACAATGAGTACAGAAGTTTGCAATGACTGTGAAAATATGACATCAAGCAGATAACTTTTCAGTCTCTTAGACTGAAGAGCAAAGGACTTGGCGGTTAACATTGTGCATCTTTGTGAGGAAGTTTGTCAGTGGTTCTGACAAATATCTAAATATAGGGTCCAGAGTTTCGTGCTACACCTCTGATAATCTCATAATCCAGGTTGTTTTCTCTGCACTTTGCTTCCTCATTCAACACATCATGTTTTCTCTCCGCAGCTTTGATGGGCCCTTCATACCAGTCCCTCAAAAGAAAAGGACCTATCAGACATCTGAACATTGCAAGGACTGCAAGTGAGTGCAAACACCATAACCAGGACTGCTTCTCCTGAATGACATTAAGGAATGCCAGTGTTAAACAGAAGTCACTTAACTGACTGTGTGTGTGTGTGTGTGTGTGTGTGTGTGTGTGTGTGTGTGTGTGTGTGTGTGTGTGTGTGTGTGTGTGCTACAGGGAGGTTATTGTAAAAGTGATGCAGCATTACTTTCAACCCTGGAAGAAGCAGAAGGACAATTACCAAAAGTCCAGGTAAAATAAGGGACCTTATCTCCAGTTACATGTTGTTACACTCATAAAGCTACTACACTTAAAACATACACACACAAGGACAAAATTGTCGGTACCTGCCTATTAAAGAAAGAAAAATCCACAATGGTCACAGACATAACTTGAAACTGATAAAGTAATAATAAGCAGTTATTTATTGAACATTGACCCATGAAAATTGACATTACTTTTGAAATGTTGTTAAAAACAATTATAAAAAAAAAACCCTGACTGATTAAATTGGCCTGGACAAAGTAGTTGGTGCCTGTAGAAAAGATTGAAAACAATTTGACCATATTGACATGTTGACCTAAAGTTGTCCCGTTGTTAGCAGGTGTCACAGGTGTCTTTAATCTTCAAAGGTTAAGGCTATAAGACCATCTAAAAGCAGCTTGATGTTCCTCTGACAACAGTTGCAAATATCATTCAGAAGTTTGGGGTCCATGGGACTGTAATCAATCTCCCAAAGATGTGGACAAAAAAGCAAGACTGGAATCTGCCAAACTGCATAACGATAAGATACAAATCTTTCCGCCAAACAATACTGCCATTGCCTTTGTCTCATAGTCCTCTTTGATATTCCTTGTTTGATGGGGAGGAGAAACACATTTGCCCAGGACTGGATGGTTGAGTCATCATTAAAAACTTTCTGGAATGATGTCTGTTTGTTATCACTAAAAAGTTGTAGCACACCCTGTGAACTCTAAGATAAACAGCAACCGGTAACACAAGTCACCAGCCAGGACTTGTTTCATCTCACCAATGTTATACGCTTTGGTAGCTTTGGATTTCTCTGAATAGAAATAGAGACCTCTATTGTTCATCCCAGCATGGTGGAAGAGAAGAATGAGGAAGCCTGTAAGGGGCTTAATCCATTGATCAGTTTTCGGTTCTGGAAATGTATGCAAATTAGTGTACATTTAATTATATATTGCCTCATTTACATATTTAAACATAACATTTGACAAAACTTGTAATACGAAAAATATTTGTCTTAATCTAAGTTATAAATTTGGGAAGTTTCATAGTGATATCTGTTAGTCCAAAATTTTACCCTATTCATCTGGGGTGTCTCCCCGGACACCTCTCTCGAGGTCAAACTTTGGTAAACTTTTAGTACGTTATTAAGGACACCTAGTACTATAAAAACATTTTTTGGGGTTCTGGGTTTGGTGTTTTTTTTTCAAATATGCACCTGCCTATTAAGGTGAAGCTCAGAAATCATTAATCAGAGTGCCCTCTCCTGACAAATAGCTGAAGCTGAATAAGTCATGTTTGAATTTTTTCTATCTATCTATCTATCTATCTATCTATCTATCTATCTATCTATCTATCTATCTATCTATCTATCTATCTATCTATCTATCTATCTATCTATCTATCTATCTATCTATCTATCTATCTATCGACAGCTAAGTAGGAAGGAGAAGTGGAAATAAGGAGGTGCATTAGATTAGAGGAACTAAACGCCAGAGTAAATATAGTACATTCTAAAGTCCCATGAGTTCTTGAAACACAAAGGGATCTCACCCAAAAGACCCAAGACTGCTTCGGCTTCCTTGGGTGAGTTTGTGGAGTCAGCGGCTCTTATTAATCAAATGAACGTACGGCAGAAAAGTGTCCGTATGACCATTTCCGTGCAAGAATCGACATTTATCAATTTGGATGTCAATTTGGATATTATAATTGTTATTATTATTATTGTTATTATTATTATTATTATTAATTTGGATGTGAGCGAATGAACGATACGATCAAATCTCACAACAGGTCTCACATCGTGTACACAAATTTGAGTAAGATTTGCGGTGCAGCAAATGTCTGTCTCAAAATAATTAATAAACAAACCTCAAACCTGTCATTAAGCACAAGCAGCCAGATTTCGACAAGGATCAATAAATAAATAAAATGAATTTCTCATGCCTATAGAGTAAATAGGCCTATTTGATTACCCTGCCGACCAACACTGCCACAGAGCAGAGCGCAGTTTTGACACACGCACATGCGCCTATGTGGTGCGCTGCTTTTGACTCCAAAAAGGCACTCCAAACACTTTCAATAATAGGAGCGATATAGCTTATGTTATGGCAATCAAAAAAAATGAGGCATGTATGAGATATGAATTTATCAGCATTAGGAATTTATTGACTAATGATTTACTAAAACTTCAGCTGCCACCCGCTATTCCGCAGCATCGCTGTTTACCGCTACTGTAATCCTGTTCGAGACAGGGTTTTTCTGGACTCCCTTTATAACAGTTTTGATGCCTCCAAAGAGCACATCCTTGATATTTTCCACTACAGAGGTGAGGATATCCACTTTCAGCTTTCAGTTCTATTCATGGTTCAGCTTCTGAACCATGAATATTTAAGGGCATGACATGTAAATGGCAATCGATTTCAGCCGCCACTTTTATCAAGACCCAATCATTAGTATGATGGGATTGGTCAGGTACGAACCCTTTCATAAATCTAACGTGTGTCCTATCATACCATGAATCCTGCGTTTAGATCTGTGCTCAGTTATACCAAGACTGATAAATGAGGGCCAGTATGTCTGCAACAGAAGAAGACCCTTTTTAAGTATAAGCTGTAAAAATGTACCTGTTCAGTCAGCCCTCATTCTCTTCTGACACTTTTGTCTCTATTTATCCAAAGAGCTCAGCTGAAGAGTGAGTGTCAGGGTTTTGATAAGGCCATCATTACCCAGGCCAACACTCCAGTGGGAACCAAGCTGGTCTATGATGGAGAAAAGAGGACTATCCAGGTGACACCAGAGATGTTTAGCACCTTTACAAAGGTATTTGTATTTGTGCTGCTACTACATACTGTAAATATTTTGTATTTAACCTATAAAAATATAACACAACTATCCAGGTATGTCATACACTCACTTCTGGTTGGTCAAAGCTCCTAAACAGTGGTGATAAATTCTCAACAATAACAAAATAACGCCTAGGATAATGATGGCCGCTTTGTCGTGTTGCTCTTCCGGCGTCTCCAAGGGCGCGTACTGGTGCTGTGATCCAGATCCCTTTTTACGCTCTCCAATGTGTTGTCTATGTCCCCTGTCCACTGGCTCAATCGTTGTCTTTCTTTTGCTCACTAAACTGTGAGTGTTCAGAAATAACACAGAGCAGATGTGTTCATGTTTATTAAAATGATTAAACCTAGGTGTGGATATCTGTGAAAGAAAGCATGAGAAGTCATGCTAGCTGATGTACTTTGTAGTTTGATGTGATGTGCAACGTGTCTTCATGCTGACCTTTGGCAGTCAGTATTTCCCTGTTTGGAAAAACTGGACTGCTCAAGAATTTGCAGAAAGGAACACCATGGTGTTCATGAAGGTTTGTGGAATTCAAGCCTCTCATTGGCTGCTTTGTGAATATTTTACAAAAAGAAACCAATGTGAACTTTTTGAAGGTGAAACAGGGGAGGGATCAGCAACCTGAGTCAGTATGCATATATCTATCTTATCTTTTTTTAAGAAATACATTTTATTTTCTGACATAAATTTTCTGAAATAAATAAATTGTATCCCTTTATTTGGAAAAGGATCAAACTACAGTACTAAATTCTCCATACAATCATAGTTCCTTTAGACCTACTCGTAGGTTTTTGTTTATTGAAAATGGTTATCTGTTAGTTTGCAGGTCCTGGATGAAAGGGATAAATAGCTGCTACATATTTGCAATGAACAAACATATTGCGTTTGCCACTTACGAGTTTATCATGCAAAGCATAAATACTCTGAAGTATCATCCCCTCTTTAAGAAATAGGTTGCAAGTCATTGTCACAATGTGATGCGAAATCTGCTTTGAGTGATTTATATATAATTATATGTTATACAATATGGTATACAGGCTCAGGACAAGTTTAGTCAAGATTGAATGATCCAAACCCCCTGCTGTCTGACAAGTCCATGTAGCTGCTCTTGGGCAGTACACACATCTTCTTTTTATGCAGGACAAGTTTTAAACTTGTATCATTTCCAGGAGTATCCTTTCCCAAATAAAACATGGGACACATGTGCAGTGGTCGGGAATGGAGGGATCATGGCTGAAAGTGGCTGTGGAGAGATGATTGACTCAGCTCAGTTTGTCATCAGGTGGGGAAGGTGTTCATAAAGAGTAGACTGAAGAGCTCATGATAGCATTATTCAGATCATCACAGACCTTTTTTGTTGTTTGTTCAGATGCAACCTACCTCCACTGAAAAATGGCTTTGAGAAGCATGTGGGCGTCAAGACCAACCTTGTCACAGCCAACCCGAGCATCCTCTTTAAAAAGTGAGTAAGACAACAGATTGTCCAGTATTTTCACTTCAAATTTTTCTCTTTTTAATCACTTTGAATCTGCTGTTGATTTTCAGGTATGGGTCTCTGATGGGGCGTCGCCGTCTATTTGTGGAGAATCTACAGATTTACGGCGATTCCTTACTGCTCCTTCCTGCTTTCTCATATGGCTCTAACACTCCTGTATCTCTGCGGGCTGCAAATGCAATCGAGGACTTTGGTAGCCCCATAAGGCCCATCTTCTTCAACCCTGAATACCTCAAGAAATTGGCTGCCTTCTGGCAGGGGCAAAGCCTGCGGGCTGTGCGGCTCAGCACCGGGATAATGATGGCTAGCCTGGCACTAGAACTCTGCAGAGATGTGCATGTGTATGGGTTCTGGCCCTTCGGTTATCATCCACATAGATTCTATGACCTGAAATACCACTACTATGATGACACACCATTTCCACGTGGATTGCACGCCATGCCGGCTGAGTTTGAACTCTTGTTACAGCTGCACAGACAAGGGGTGCTAAAGCTTCATCTTGGAGACTGTTGACCTGGGAAAAAGTAAACCAAGGGTCTTGTGCTGGAGCAGAAGCAGAGTGTCCTCTTTGTACCCGCTGGAAGAGACCCGCCATTAATGGTGCCTTATTTTAATCAGTTTCTAATTATAAGTTATAAAACTAACCAGAGAATTTTTGGAGAATGAATGCATTTTGAAGGAAATCAAATACCTCCTGAACATGAAGACTGTCTGACTTCAAAAACAGTAAAAACTCTCTTCAAACATTAAACTACTTTTCAAAATATCCAGGTAACTGTTGAAATATTTGGTACACACACATATTTTTACACTAATGTTAAAAAAAGGATGAAAGATGAAAACTGCACTCTTGTTATCCCGTAAATATTGTTACAGCGTAAGTTTAAAAAAGGTAACCTCTACATAATATCGTTACTAAATAAGTGTCAGTATAACTGACTCTGATGCAAGGTGATAAAGTGATTTTGAATTTTGCACTGTGGGTGACAAGTATAACCTTGAATTGGGCTTTCTTTTGTTTCTTTTACTAGTGGGAGTGTTTCATGGTGACACTAATGAGGTCTTAATGATGATTTCTGTAATCCAGAGGAGAAACATTGTACATGCTGTAGACGACCAAACTTAAAAGCCTTGGGAACAACTTTTGAAACAAATGAAGGTTTGTGAATCTCTGTGTCATATTATATTCAATGTGAGTGGGAAAATACAAGTGAATCAATGAATAAATACTTTTCTAAAACATTTTGTTTTGTGAGCCAGAATGGAAATTGTTTCAGGCCAGGAAATAGTTCAACAACTTATGTGCCCCTCTCAAAATTGCAAAAGGAGTTGAGGATTTTATCGTGTATGATAGTATCCAAAGATTCATCAATAGGAAACCAAAACTGATTGGCTTTGATCATTCAGCACTGCATAGAAAACAGATGTGACTCTGTAGTGGAAATACCTGAATGAGCTCAAAATCACTGAAGGGCTATACTATTAATGGTAAACAATATGTCACAGTCTGGAGCCAAACAAACTGAAAAAGGACCCAGTTGCAGAACTAAAAGTGGTTTAATAAAAAAAGAACTAAATAAAAGGCAACAAAAGTTTGCTAGAAAATGTCCACCTAAAAATCCAATATCTAAGAAAATGCACAGGGGGGAAAAATTCACCACTGGACACTAAAGACACACAGAGGATTTGACATACAATGAACTGACCAGCTATGGACCCAGCAGACAATTTTGATTTAGATGATGATGTAAGTTTTTTGATTAAGGCTTGCCCTGGACTGTATGGCCCATTTGTGAGCAATTCTGAGCACTCTCCTTGGTGGGAAATATACCTGGCCATCTTTCCTGGGACCAGAGGTCAGAGGAAAAAGGGGCAAACAAATCTCCCCGTGCCACCTCCTTATAATCCAACACCAGTTTCCTATTGAAGGTTCTGCCGACACCTGTTTCCTTGTCAGAAGACCTGCTGACACCTGCTGCTTCATCTGCTCCCAGGCTGGCTTACAGGTTGAAATAAGTACCTGTCCCCAGGCCAGATTCCAGGCTGACTCCAGGGTCTGCTCCCAAGCTGACGCCAGTGCCTGCTCCCAGGCCAACTCCACTGCCTGTCCCCAGGTCGGCTTCCAGGCTGACTCTCGTGCCGGCTCCCAGGTAGGCTTTCAGCGGTATACCGTATAGACCGTCATCACGGTGAAATACAGTCACGGTGGTGACACCGTGAGATTGCTGAGCTCATGGTGACGTAATTCCAATATTATGTAGCGGCACGTAAAGTGCACGTTACGCCTCAACACAAGCGCGACTTGCCATAATAAAGGTATCACTTTACGTTCACATTAACATTAGTGGTCAGTCTGGGCTATAGTTAGACAGCAGCAGCAAAATATTGAACCATTTCCTACCTGTGTGATGCTGCGGAGTGCTGGAAAAAACACAATTGTATATTCCATTAGTTCCGGGCAGGCTGCCATGCCCATGAGGATGATGCGCTGCCCACCGTAAATCAAAGCCCCCCCCCCCAGGTAGTTTTGGTTTCAAACACACCTAAGGCGACGCCCCCGCCATATCGACATGATCCAATCCAGGAAGCATGGACAAAGCATGGCATGATGATGGCAGACTCCTCCGAACCAGAGGCAGAGATAAGATGCTCAAACCTGGGTTGGCCCGCAGCCCCCTCCTTCACTGGTTAGACAAGACACACCATAGACAGACACACATTTTGCTTAAGTAAAGCAATGTTTTCTTTTAAGGGATGATCCTTGTGTGTTTTAGTTGTCATTTCATAGCCCTTAGTAAAGTTTTTTTTTTTTTTTTATATCGTCACCGTGAAATACAGAGGTGTATGGTACTGTCACCGTCACTGTACCGTACTGCAAAATCTCATACCGTGGAAAGCCTACTCCCAGGCAGGCTTTCAGGCCTGCAACCCAGCCCCCTTGACCTTCTGCCAGGCTGGACCCCAGCTCCTTTTACCTGCTCCCATGCTGCCCTCTGGCTGGACCCTCAGCTCCCTGTACCTGCTTCTTGTTCGGCTGAAGGGCCGGACCCCCGGCTCTCTTTGGCTGCTCCTTTGTCGGCTGCTGGGCCAGACCCCCAGTGCCTGCTCCTTATCTGGGGTGGTTAGTATATATATATGTCATATGTTCTGTTGTTCCCCTAATTTTAGTGATTTGAGGCCCAATTCCAAACTCCACCCTAAGCCCTCAAGCCCTGCACCCTCATTAGCTTAGGTTAAGTCAGCTAGTAAGTGCTTGAGTGTGGGAGGGTTTAAGGGCTCCAAAAGGGTATAAAAGCGATGGAACAGCCCTTTGTGACATGCCACGTTACCTTGACGACAGACGACAACGTTGCCGTGACAACCAAAGATGCGACTACAACTTGCCTCTCTGGGCCTCTTAATTCTGCATTTATTTCGCGGCCAGCGACGTCGCAGAAGAAAGGCCAACATTGTTCCGCTGCACACACTTTCTCTTGAACATGGACAACAGGTAATTGGTAAATAATGATTAGATTGATAAATTATAAAACCAGCATTAATGATAGGTTTAAGTGATATTGAATGGTTAAAAGGTTGAAGCACTAGATTCTGAAAGGAATCACTGCTTTAGAGTGTTAGTTCAGTATAAAATGTATTGATTCAGATAAAAGTTTGAAGTAAAAATCAATTTTCTTTGTTATAAGAATAACGCATGCATGTGTGTATGTTTATGTGTATATATGTATGTATATACACACACACACACACACACACACACACACACATATATATATATATACATAATCTTATATCTATGTTAATGTAGTGCATTCTTGTTTATCTTGGCATTCCAGCGCCCACCATACACGATGCGGAACATCCATGTTAGAGTATTAAGGGTGCACCTGGATCCTGAATGAACTGCTTCTTCTTGAGCTTCTTCGCCATGATCTCTGTCATTTTTTGTGTCTGTCGCGGATGATGAGACGCTTGTGGCCTCGTTCCCTTTTAAATCCTGGCCCCGGCTGCGTCGGCGTCCTCCGGTAATGCCCACAACGCATTGAATTGTGGGCAATTTCTTTGCCAAAGTCTCCAACGGTACGGACTTACAGAAAGGGTGCAGAAAGGGGCGTTCCCGAGCCCTCACTGACTTACCGATTTCATTTGGAACAACCCTCAAGCCCTTACAGAGCTCACATGAGCGCGCACCTAAGTCAATGAGTCAGTGAGAGGGGGGTTTGGAATTGGGCCTGAGTGTATTTTCACAAGTGTTTCTGTGCCCTACTGTTCCTGTTCCCCTGTAGTCCTGTCTTGTGAGTTTTCAGTTAGTGTCTGATCCTGTTTACCCCATGTTCTGTTTTATTCTCTATTATCAGTTTTCTTTTTTATTTTGTAGTAGCTTATTCCCCTTGTTTCTAGCCTTGTTTTACTTCCTCAGATTTCCCTCCTTTGTAATTGTCTGCACTTGTGTCTCTGTGTCTCACCTGCCTTATGTTACTTGTTTCCCTGTGTGTATATATAGTCCTTGTTTTCCCTTGTTTCTTTGGTGGTTCATTGTATGCCAATGCCTCTGTGTTGGGTGTTGTTTCTGCTCACTTGTCTTCCCAGTGAGTCGCCTGTGATGTTTTGGTTCCTTGGATTTTTGCTTCTTCTGTCTTTTGGAAATTTTTCAGTTTGACATTCCAAGTAAGTTTTTGTTTTTCTTTTTGTTCGTTTAAAATAAATCCTTTTTTTGATCTGCAATTTGGGTCCTTTCCCTTTTTGTTTTACCCAGATAAGTGACACAATACAGGTTTTGGAAGAACATATGCTGCCATCCGGACAATGCTTTCTTTGAGGGGAGGACCTAACATATTTCAGCAACACACTGGCAGATTATGTGCTTGTTCTGTGCTTGTTCAAATGAAACAAAAATGTTTGCTTGCAATAAATAATTAATTTTGACTAAAGTGGTCCTGACTGAACAGTGGTGATCAATTCTCAACAACAACAACCATGTCTTGGATAACCTGTTGACTGACACATATGTAACTCCACCTATAGATAGGAGTTGCACATATAACCTCATTTGACATATCAAACAGCCCCAATAGAAGCTAGAAATAGGTGGAATTGCATTTAAGCATTGTTTTAGAGTATAAAGTCAACAAGACACAGGAAAGGTGGAGGAAAGCTTATTTGGTGTAGAATAACTAACTGCAAAGCACTCCCTCTCCTTTGTTCCTCACAAAATATGTTCTGTATATATATATCTGGGCTGCCCACTGCCTGACATAAACAAGGGCGCGTAATATATGATGTTTATCTTATAGTTGTCATGGACACTGATGCTAGGGAATAAAAAATTTGGTTATGTGTCCACACACAAACGCAAAACCAGAGTTCTCCAAAATCTTTAGTTTGAGTTTTCCAAAAGCACCATTTTTAATGACGTATTTGTATATGCGTGTGTCTATATATATATATATATATATATATATATATATATATATATACACATATATATGTTTATATATATGATGACTCTATTTGTGTACATTTTCTCCAACTTTGGGTATGCGTTGGGTGTTTGAACAACTTCAGGGGTCAGACTGTAAGTAAGTCTTGTTTACAACCGCACAAGAACAAATATTTGATGTCATTTTGTGGTCAAATACAACGTACCTGCTGCCAACATAAAGGGAAAAAAATCAGCCAAGACTCAAATTAAGAGCAAATACCATCCCTTGTTGCCATTGAGGTTCTGGTGGAAACAAATACCATGGTGGGTCACAGACACAATGAAAAAAAGTTCCTGGAACAAAAATTCTGGGCGGTTTTGGTCAAAAAGGAGAGAATGGATTTAATTACAGGGACAAGACAAGGACTAAAGAAGAAGTATGTAGATCTGCTGCATAAGATGCATTTTAGCTGACTGACGCCTGGAAGCGCCGGGCGCGGAACGGAAGCGCCGCGCACAGAGTTTCGGAACAGCTTGCGCTCTGGAGCGTGGCCGCTCCGCATCTCTCTGGCTGTGTCCGAAATGGCATACTGCCTACTATCTACTTACCTACTCAAGCAGTACCTACTGCATACTGACTACTCAAAGATGATTTGAGTATGCTGCGGCTGCCCGAGCCCGAGCATACAGATGCATACTAAATACCCCAGAATGCATTTTGTGCCGGTTGGGACGCAGCGCAAGGAAAATATAAATAGTCCAACCACAAGCTACACAGAACTACTGCATTCCGGACAAATTATATAAATTCATTCAATAATAATATTTTTTGTAGCGAGAAAGTAAGTGTTTACATCACGATTATGAGCCCAGTTGTTTGAAATAGTGGCTGTTTGTAAATTTGTCTCGGCGTTTTCGAAGACCGAAGTGTCCGCTTGGTGGGTGTTTGCGTCTATTTACCGTAAACACCGGGCAGCAGCAGCTCCCCCTTTACGTTTCTAAATTATTGCAAAGTGTTTTCATAATCAACATCTACACGACACAAACCTGGCAGCAGAGGATGAAAAAAATCACACAGACATCTGTGTATCCATGGTGATAATGCTATACACCACCTGCTAGGCGTGTGATGAGCAGCAGAGGGCTGCAAAATGACCAACACACAACATAATTATTATGATCTTGTTCTGTTATTCTGTGGCAAATACATCATTTCCTGACTACATTCTTTTCATGTACAATGATAATTTCAGAAACCATCAGATTTTCAACCACAAGTAAGAATTAGTAAAGCTCACATACATTGTCAACTGGAAACTCCCCCGTTTGTATATTCTGAACCATGTGCTCTCTACCAATAATTATTTTTATTAATCAGAGGTCTGTGCTTAATATGAGTGACCACTTTGATGATGCATTCAGAGATGAGAAAATGCTCAAACTTGATGTAATAAATACATCTTTAATAGTCACTTAAATAAAATTCATACAGATAGTTAAAAACATTACCCATAATCCTAATTTAAAACACAAATAAATCTGGTAAAAAGATCAAAATATGATAAAATGATAAAAATTGTGCAATGTATATTGACTAAATATTGTTTATATATATATATATATATATATATATATATATATATATATATATATATATATAATTATTATTGCAATCACATGCCATCTATTTCTTTTCAGCCTCGGGAAAGAGGGCCATATTACCAGCTGAGGTGCGCAATGCATTGTGGGGCAGAAGCAGTACTGAAGCAAGCTCTGTTCCACACTCAGAAATCGAATCTGATTGAGTATACATCCGGGCATTTCTCGCATACACAAAATTCGCATACTGTACAGTGTGAGCGCACTGCCTACTCAATTCAGAGGCGGGTATAGTAGGAGTAGTAGGAGTAGTATGCAATTTCGGACACAGCCTCTATTTTTGGCGCGAGCCGCGCGCGCCAATTGTAAAGCTGAAAAGAGCAGATCGGACCAGACAGGAAGTCATAACAGGAGAGAATCCGGTCAATTTTCAAAATAAAATAAATTTCAATAAATAAGAAAAAAAGGATTTACGGTGTTGCTTGTCGGTCTATTTTTTCTCGATGATCACGCATGCACGCACGCACACACGTGCGCGCGCGGAAGGAGAGCTGCAGAGATTCAGTGATGTTATTGAGACAAAGGAGGGGGACTTTATCACGATACAGTCAATAGCCTCGAGCTAACAAGGCTACAAATACAACGGAGTCAACAGACTCCCCAATTCATTCGTTGTTTACCCCCATATAATAATTCAAAACAATACTTGAAGATGCTGTCAATATTTAATTTACGTATGACGAAATAAAAACGTAAATATATATTGATTTACCCATTTTAAAGCGCTCGTAAGTGTAGAAATTGAGGGCAGACGGAAATGGCCGAGCGCTGCCGGGCTCAGTCGATGTCTAACCGGCGTGTCAGAGTGCAGCATAAAAAACGCCGTATGTGTGAACAGCCAAGCGCACGCGCGCGGCGCTTCCGTTCCGCGCGCGGCGCTTCCTGTGTGAACCGGAAGACAAAAAGGAAAAGGTAAAGGTGGAGATCATAAATAGAAGATAAGCGTGGAGGAGGAGACAGGTGAGAAACTGACAATAGGAGCGAGACGACGCGCAGAAGGAGGAGGAGGAGGTAAAAGAAAATTTAAGAAAGCAAAGAGGCATAAGACAAGGCAAAACACAAAGCTGAGGAAAGGGAGGAAAAACAAAGAGAAGGGGTGAGACAGCTTTAAGGGTTAGGACAGAAGGTGGGAAAAAGGGCCTAATTAGTGAGGTAAGAGGTATGAAGGGACAGCACTCAAAGTCATTCTTCTCTCTGGTGATCACCCTCCTGTGTTTGGGGAGCCTGCTGACCATGCTCATCTGGTGCATGTTCGACAGCAAGTAAGTGTGTATTTGAATATGTGAGTTTATTCATTTATTTTTTAATAAAACAGACTAATTAGCTGTCTGTGTAATAGTACAAAATAACACCCACACATTAACTGTGTCTTAATTACTTTATTTACATAATAATGTTAGATACTCTCAAACTGTAAAAATAAATACAAAACAATTAGGAATTACACTGATGACACCCATGTGTGACAGAAGTCTTTTAGCACAGTCATTCAAAGTGATGTCAGAGAAGTTTGACAGCAGCAGCCACAGTTGGTAAGGATATGGGTTATGTTGTTTAACAGATGCTTACGACTTCAATCTGTGTTCGGACTTCTTATGAAGCATTACAGGTCTTGAACTTGACTGTAACTTAACTTTTTAAAGCTCTTTCTATAGAAACTTTCAAACAGGAACAGAAGTTGATGACAGCTGTAAAAGCAACATGCCGCAGACTGCAGACATTTGAAAACACTGACACAAACAGACAGACGTCTGCAGATGACATGAAGATACGTAGCAAAAAGGTCTATACCTGTGAGTTAGAACACTGGTTGTTCATTCATGGTGTATGAAGCTGACATCTTTACTGCCCTCCACTGCAGATACTGTAGATTAGGTGAACAATGAGTACAGAAGTTTGCAATGACTGTGAAAATATGACATCAAGCAGATAACTTTTCAGTCTCTTAGACTGAAGAGCAAAGGACTTGGCGGTTAACATTGTGCATCTTTGTGAGGAGGTTTGTCAGTGGTTCTGACAAATATCTAAATATAGGGTCCAGAGTTTCGTGCTACATCTCTGATAATCTCATTATCT